CCTGTGCTCCACCTGTGTGTCTGTATGAAACTATGGCTGATTATCAACCTGTATTCTCAGTGAGTTTAAAGGACTGGTACACTACATGGTTTAATGAAGGTGAACTTAATCTCTTTTAATATAGTTTATTACTGCATCACAACACAAACATTTGGTGTTCAGTTGTTGATGGGTGCAGACAGTTAAAATGAGCACACACTGAAGACATGAACAACAGAAAAACCTTGTCACACAACTATGTGTGTGTGTCCGCCCCCGCCCCCCACGGTGTGTCCCCACCAACCTTCAGCACAAAGTTACACCCTTACTGGGTCATCTTAAAAACAGATCGTCTCTGTTGTGTTTTTAGTGAGAAAGCTTTGTTTGTTGTATGTAGTGTTTAACTGACACAGTGGTCCATCATGTGAGCATTGTGTTACAATGTCTAGTTGTAATGAGTGTGTGTGTTTGTGGCTGCTCTGTGCCCACACAGATGCAGTCCAGGCTGGGCTCAGGCAGCAGCTCCAGTCCTTGTACTCCAGCCCTGCAGAGAGCTCAGTTCAGCCAGGTAAAGCAGCTCAACCACAACACACACTGTCGGCAGGTTGTGTTGTAGGTGATGTGTCATCCTGATGGTTGTGTTCCCACAGAACACCAGTCTTCTGTCCAGCCGAGACGCCCCCCACAGCAGCTCTCTGTCAGATATGGCCCTCTCCCCCTTGTCCCCGTTCCCCCCTCAGTCTCCAGCTGATGATGTGTTCTGGGACTCAGCTGAGACTCCTCCTAAAGTGAGTATCATCTGTTGTGGAAACACAAAAACAAGGCGCTGGCTTACACAGGCAGCAGGTTTCACAGCCGTCACAAATGAGGCAAGAACTGAGCAGATGTGGGTTTTGTTCTGCTGGCTGCCATCAGAACACATCTGTTGTCATGTTAGTCATGTGGGCATCATGTGAGCAGAACGTGTGAGAGCATCTTGTCTTACAGGAAGTGGTGCACACAGCAGGACGGTGTGCAGCACAGTCATTTGTTCCCTGCAGACTGCTTTACATATACTGTTGTGTACATTTACCACACATGTTCTTGTTTGTGTACATTTACCTCACATGTTTTTGTTTGTGTACATTTACCACACATGTTCTTGTTTGTGTACATTTACCACACATGTTCTTGTTTGTGTACATTTACCACACATGTTCTTGTTTGTGTACATTTACCACACATGTTCTTGGCTGTGTACATTTACCACACATGTTCTTATTTGTGCACATTTACCACAAATGTTCTTGTTTGGAGCTGATAAATAAACTCATAAGCTGTATAGGAAGAGAGGGGTCTCAGTAAGACTGTTGTTGAACTAACAGGAGGCCACATAGAGCAGTTAATAACACTACTCTCTCTTACAGTGTGCTGACTGCAGCTGCTTTAAAACAATTTTTTTGGTCACAACTGGTGACGTGGGGACAAAAGTGGAGTCTCCATTTATTTTAAATGCCATTGGTGGGTTGGAGGTTGGGTTTAGGACCAAGGAGTGAACTGAGTTTAGGTTAGTTTTAGGG